CTACAACACGAGTCTATTTAACTCAGCTGCGCATGCCGTCAAAGGTCCCGGCGTCAAGGTGGTTAGTAAATTACCTATATGTCACGGACACGAAACATGGAGAGAAAAATAGATATAATTCGTCGTAATTTTAAATTTGTCGCATTTATTTCAAATTAGTGTACCTCGTCAGAGAATATATTAAATACAATGTAACATGATAAACTCAAAACTACTTGGGGACGGCTACATTGCTGGTAGACTTATAGGCATTACTTCTGGGCTACGGCTCACTAAGGCTTCGACATGAACGGCTCACACTTTCCTGAATATAGAAAAAGACAATATAGAAAAAGAACTGTACTTGACTTATTGTGAAATTATATCAGATCTTCTTCACACATTTCAGCATAATATATATGCACGCACCCAGCCCCCCCCCCCTTTTTTTATTTCGCAAAAAATCTTTATTTCTGTATAAATTACCACCAAAGACAATAAATAGATCTGAATTGTGCACCCCCTCCCCCTTTTCAAAAAAGCTGTATCCGCCCATGATGTGTATGTGCGTGTGGATGTGAACCTTCAATCGGATTTAGAGCCGATATTGTACATGACTTTAGGTATACATATATTTCGATGTATTTGAGTATGTGTGTAGAGATGTTCCTGGTCTATGCAGGTGAGTATGTCTGTATAAATGTTCCTGGTCTATTTTGGTGAGTATGTCTGTATAAATGTTCCTGGTCTATACTGGTGAGTATGTCTGTATAAATGTTCCTGGTCTATACTGGTGAGCATGTCTGTATAAATGTTCCTGGTCTATACTGGTGAGTATGTCTGTATAAATGTTCCTGGTCTATACTTGTGAGTATGTCTGTATAAATGTCCCTGGTCTATACTGGTGAGTATGTCTGTATAAACGTTCCTGGTCTATACTTGTGAATATGTCTGTATAAATGTTCCTGGTCTATACTGGTGAGAATGTCTGTATATATGTTCCTGGTCTATACTGGTGAGCATGTCTGTATAAATGTTCCTGGTCTATACTGGTGATTATGTCTGTATAAATGTTCCTGGTCTATACTGGTGAGTATGTCTGTATAAACGTTCCTGGTCTATATTGGTGAGTATGTCTGTATAAATGTTCCTGGTCTATATTGGTAAGCATGTCTGTATAAATGTTCCTGGTCTATATTGGTGAGCATGTCTGTATAAATGTTCCTGGTCTATACAGGTGAGTATGTCTGTATAAATGTTCCTGGTCTATACTGGTGAGCATGTATGTATAAATGTTCCTGGTCTATACTGGTGAGTATGTCTGTATAAATGTTCCTAGTCTATACTGGTGATTATGTCTGTATAAATGTTCCTGGTCTATACTGGTGAGTATGTCTGTATAAACGTTCCTGGTCTATACTGGTGAGTATGTCTGTATAAATGGTCCTGGTCTATATTGGTGAGTATGTCTGTATAAATGTTCCTGGTCTATACTGGTGAGTATGTCTGTATAAATGTTCCTGGTCTATACTGGTGAGTATGTCTGTATAAACGTTCCTGGTCTATACTTGTGAATATGTCTGTATAAATGTTCCTGGTCTATACTGGTGAGAATGTCTGTATATATGTTCCTGGTCTATACTTGTGAGCATGTCTGTATAAATGTTCCTGGTCTATACTGGTGAGTATGTCTGTATAAATGGTCCTGGTCTATATTGGTGGGTATGTCTGTATAAATGTTCCTGGTCTATACTGGTGAGCATTTCTTTATAAATGTTCCTGGTCTATACTTGTGAGCATGTCTGTATAAATGTTCCTGGTCTATACAGGTGAGTATGTTTGTATAAATGTTCCTGGTCTATATTGGTGAGCATGTCTGTATAAATGTTCCTGGTCTATACAGGTGAGTATGTCTGTATAAATGTTCCTGGTCTATACAGGTGAGTATGTCTGTATAAATGTTCCTGGTCTATACTGGTGAGTATGTCTGTATAAATGTTCCTGGTCTATACGTGTGAGCATGTCTGTATAAATGTTCCTGGTCTATACAGGTGAGTATGTTTGTATAAATGTTCCTGGTCTATATTGGTGAGCATGTCTGTATAAATGTTCCTGGTCTATACAGGTGAGTATGTCTGTATAAATGTTCCTGGTCTATACAGGTGAGTATGTCTGTATAAATGTTCCTGGTCTATACTGGTGAGTATGTCTGTATAAATGTTCCTGGTCTATACGTGTGAGCATGTCTGTATAAATGTTCCTGGTCTATACAGGTGAGTATGTTTGTATAAATGTTCCTGGTCTATATTGGTGAGTATGTCTGTATAAATGTTCCTGGTCTATACAGGTGAGTATGTCTGTATAAATGTTCCTGGTCTATACAGGTGAGTATGTTTGTATAAATGTTCCTGGTCTATATTGGTGAGCATGTCTGTATAAATGTTCCTGGTCTATACAGGTGAGTATGTCTGTATAAATGTTCCTGGTCTATACAGGTGAGTATGTCTGTATAAATGTTCCTGGTCTATACTGGTGAGTATGTCTGTATAAATGTTCCTGGTCTATACGTGTGAGCATGTCTGTATAAATGTTCCTGGTCTATACAGGTGAGTATGTTTGTATAAATGTTCCTGGTCTATATTGGTGAGTATGTCTGTATAAATGTTCCTGGTCTATACAGGTGAGTATGTCTGTATAAATGTTCCTGGTCTATACAGGTGAGTATGTTTGTATAAATGTTCCTGGTCTATATTGGTGAGTATGTCTGTATAAATGTTCCTGGTCTATATTGGTGAGTATGTCTGTATAAATGTTCCTGGTTTATACCGGTGAGTATGCCTGTATAAATGTTCCTGGTCTATATTGGTGAGTATGTCTGTATAAATGTTCCTGGTTTATACTGGTGAGTATGTCTGTATAAATGTTCCTTGTGTATACAGGTGAGTATGTCTGTATAAATGTTCCTGGTCCATACTGGTGAGTATGCCTGTATAAATGTTCCTGGTCTATACTGGTGAGTATGGCCCCTCGTGGAGGAAGAGAGTTGTTCCGCGTGAGCTAATCTGTCAACGCTGCCAATGCATGTATTTTTTCAATTGCTATTATTTTGTTTATAAATAGGGACACATAAATCTGAAAACTTTTAGAAAGTTTTGATAATTGTGTACAGCGAACACAAGAAGCAGGTTCAGACAGATGGCCTGTTGTTATTTTCGCCTTTTGCAAATACCTGTACACAGAAGTCGTGAGAATATCCCAGTGCACCAGAATGCCTCATGTCGGTGCACACTGTTGCATATCATCTACGCAGCTGACAAGCAGCAGTTTCTGCATCTGTGTTATTTTGAACAAAACGTATGTGAATATTTTCTTTTAAATTCATTACTCTACAATGAGCCATTGAGCTTGGAAGCAGCTGTTATTATACAAATATGAGTTTTTGTATAATATATATCAATATAAGATAAAGACAAATTGTATTGTACGTATACACCCAGGGGCTCGGAACATTAAACACATTATACACTACGAGGGTAAGACATCTTAAACAGTAATGATAATGATAACACACAATGTCAGAGTATTGAGTAATAGCACCGTGGTGGAACCTACCCAGTTAGAGCACTTAGAGCAGTTCAAACATGCTGTGAACTGAACAGGGTGAACTTAGAAGGTATGTTAAAGCAGTATTATTGTCAACATAGGTAATATTTAGTACGGAAACGAAATATTTTCTATTTGCGATAATGTACCAGTAACAAGGTAAATTATAAAACGTAATTATTATTATTATCATATTTTTTTATATTATTATTAATATTATTATTATTATTATTATTATTATTATTATTATTATTATTATTATTATTATTTACAGGGCATAGATAAATGAAAATAAATTAGTATATCTGCTTCATAACAACTCAATGTGTCATTCAGTGGTGTATATATGAAATACCGGAGAGTACTCGTCGTTAGGCGAGCATCATAAACCGGGACATACTTTCTCAACGTCTACTGCCAACCCAGCTATCAAAATGACAATCTTGGTTTCGTTTCTATCCGCCCTGTCAAAATTAAAATCAGAAGTAAGTATCCCGACTCCAATAAAGTAATAAATCAAGCGCCTGAAAGGGGACTGTCGTTCCACGCACCACACTCCAGTTAGTAAAGTCAACACGAGATTAGTTAAGTGCACTTTAATAATACTTTAACTGTACGACCTAATCCATTACAAGAGAATGATAACTCCTCGACCAAGTCTACGGACACTCCACAGATTATCACATCGTTCATATAAACACGGCTGACTTTAATATAAATAATGTTCACAGATAATCTGACCGTGAATATATTTATATTAACGATTTATCGCGAGAATAAAATAATACAAAAATATTGCAATAATTTCCCAAAACGCAAAACATATATCAAAACTACATGGATATAATAAAACACAACTACAAATGAATGTATTTCTTTATTCCACTTTCTAAAAAAAACAATTATAACAAATTGACAAAAAGGCTTTATAAAATGCAGTGGTAATTATGTGGCCGATCATTGGACGAATGACCACATTGGTGTCAGGAACCATGCCCTGGTTGATGAATAATATAGCAATGTAGGGTTCGGATGTATGAGGAAGTCGTCAGTCAATTACTAGCAGTCTCTGTGTTTGTCAGAGTTTGTGTACCAACATTGCTCCTGGTTCAAGCACTTGTACATATTTTTTGTGTGGTCCGATGTAACTAATCTGATTGTGCTTTGCTAACAACTGTCATTCAAATTTAACATCTGCATTGTGTTGATGGCAAAATAAACACAAGCTATTAACACATGTTAATTTGATAACAAATCACTCATTACCGCAGCACCACCTGAAAACGGTTGGTAGTCAGCCGGTCTGTCGTGAGATTTGGAGTATTGGTAGAGCTAGTAAACAAAGATGACACAACGAGATAATGCGCGTCCTATACACGCCATGTCCTGCCACACATACAGGGGGGGGGGGGGGGGGGGGGGGGGGTGACGGAGATGTTGAAATAATTTATTTCGTGCTGCTGTAGTATAAATATGTCGAGAGTGACGGATGTGACGCCTCTCGTTGTCGAGATGAATTATGACACCCCGTTAGCTCGCTAGGTAGACTTTTTTTTGCAATTTAATAGACGAAACCAACCTATTCATAATCCAGATTGATCTTGATGGGCGGTCTTTCAGATACATCAATCTTTTAAAATAAGTGTCAGATGTATTTATTTGCAAGCATGACACCGACCACTGCAGTCACAATCAGCGTTACAACTCAGAGAGTCTTGTTAGATCTCAACTCACCTAAACACGAAATGATTGAGAAACTTAATCAAAGGGAGGTAATCCCACAAGAGGGAATTTGACAGGAGTTGCGTTCAAAAGAACCAACAACTGTTCGTATCCCCTTAGAGATTTTTTAATGCATTTACTTTATAGATTGTCAACAGAGTGGGAAATTATACAAGAAACTCGTGTTTTCAATATATGCTATTTCAACCATGTTTGTGGTCTGAACTCTATTTCTCTATGGCCCCATGTATTAGCAGGCCCCGATATACCCTCTTGTATCGTGTTCAAGCATATATTCCCATGGTAAGGCTACAAGAGTCAAGTACCCTACTCCAAACCTGTCCTATCTTATCTGTCGCTATGTGCTTGTGACAGATCACTTAATATTATCATACATCAAGTGGGATAAGGCTAAGTCGACTTATGCTATAGTCCATTTGTAGAGGCTGTTGTGAGTGCAATCTGGCCTTTAAAACCAACCCTAGAGATTCAAGTCTAACATTCAGTCTAACCGAGATAAGGTAGAGGACTTACCATATCATTGTGAACAATGTTCGTGAAGTGCGTTTACCTGAATCAGACTCTGTTATTTACAGGCCGTGGAAAAGATGAATATTGTACATTGCAGCATAAAACAACATTCACTCACTAAACAGCCTACTGAAACTAGAAACCACGAAACACCCTGAACAAGGAAACAATCACGTTGGAAGTTAACATCTACTGGTTAAGTTTTCACGCCTTGATGTTGGGACTGGTTTTGTATACTGCCGTACATGACCGGGGATAGACACTTGATGCATCATAACGTGATTTATGTTTCGCTTTCTGACAATTTGTCTCATTATATGCCAAGTTCATATTAAATATGGGAGCACGGAACACATGGGCACAAACAAGGGAGATACACGTGAACAGTTGTCTGGTTTGGTGGATTGTTGATGTGTATATCACAAATATACTGGACCGCAAAAGAAACGTCACTTCATGAAAATAATTCATGAGTTTCGTATTGAAATATCAAAGCACGAAGAATCAGAGAAACCCGGTTTTAGGACTACTGCATGCTGGCCTGGCTACACTAATGGTTGCCAATGCCTTTAATGTCCACACGTGAGAACCATCCACAGATTACAGCAACGATACCAGGTCACCAACAGCATGGGTCTTCCAAACCCTGTTTCTCTGATTGGCATGGCGCTAGTATCAATACAAGGATCCTCATATTGTGATGCCGTTTATCAGAAAAGGCACAAGGAAAAGCAAGGGAATTTTGCTTTTCATGCAAAGCATTCAGCAACTTGTACCATGGTCGTTTGTTAAGCTGCGTTTTAGCGACCCATTATATCCATATTTGTGGCACTTTTTGACCGTTAACACTGGATACTGACTAATGTGAAAGACGAGATACCTCCAAAAATGCATTGATATTTTAGTGGGAAGTATTTTCATTAAGTGACGTTTCTTTTGAGGTTCTGTATAGATTCAGATGTAGAGCGAGTTAGAGCCAGCCCCCACATTGGAGTTTAGATGGCAGGTAGACATCAAACATAGATTCAGGTGTCTGCGAGTATGAGCCAGGCCGACATCACACATAGATTTAGCTGTCTAGCGAGTTAGAGCCAGGCCGACATCACACATAGATTTAGCTTTCTAGCGAGTTAGAGCCAGGCCCCACACTGGAGTTTAGAAGGCAGGTAGACATCACAGAGATATGCTGGAGACAGGGAGTCCAGGCACTGGATTTCAGCCTTATGACCCAGCTGCAGCAGGTGTTGAACCTAAGGGAGAAGAGACGAGGATGATGCTACACATTTGTTGACTGCGATCCTACTTTTGCTTTTGATGATGATGATGATGATGATGTCGGTATGGTTTTACGCCGCTTTTAGCAATATTTCAGCAATATCACGGCGGGGACACCAGAAACGGGCTTCACACATTGTAACCATGTCAGGAATCGAACCAGGGTCTTCGGCGAGACGAGCGAACGCTTTAACCTCTAGCGTTCCCCACAGCTGCCGCATGATGATGATGATGATCATCATCATCATCATCATGGCAATATGACAATACTTTATTACCCCATGGGAATTCTGTGTACAGAGGAAAGTCCCACATAAACTGAAGACTATAGAGCAGCAGAACGGTACAGAATTAACAGTCATTTGTGAGGATGTTGCTTGAAGAGATAAAGTTCAAAGACACTTCTTATTGGAAGTGATACCAGGGGCAATAATTATTAACTGCCTAATAATTTGCAACACGACATATTAGGAGAATACACATTGGTGGCCTTACGGAAGAAGACTCAGAACCCACTCATATACCACCAGGAAGTATCAACTATAAAAGTGCTACTTGATGCGCTCAGTAGGTTGCAGCCCACGAAAATGCGCCACTCCAGGCACTTAATAGGCGAGAGACGTATATTTTACGAGCGCTTCGATGGGCCCCAGTTTCGGGGGTGGGGGGGGGGGGGGGGGTGTCCTGATTCTTCCATTGAGAAGAAAAGGGACGTGATACGTGCCTGTGTGGCGAGGGGTGGATTTGCCAGCACATAGGGTCGTCCTATCAGTTCCGAGGCCTTGTCCATGTCCTTCTTGGTGAACTGTATACACACCGACTCGTGGATATTAAGCCTGCACAAAGAGGACATAATTGCCAGCTTTTACAAACAATTTTGTCCATTTCACAATAACATAAAACGTCAAACACATCCATCAATATAACGTCAAACACACCCATCCATGTAACATCAAACATCCATCCATGTAACGTCAAACACATACATCCATGTAAAGTCAAACATCCATCCATGTAACGTCAAAAACACACATCCATGTAACGTCAAACACGTCCATCAATATAACGGCAAACACATTCCCCAAAGTAACGTCACACACACCTATCCATGTAACGTCAAACATCCATCCATGTAACATCAAACAAGTCCATCAAAATAACGGCAAACACATTCCCCCGTGTAACGTCAAACACATCCATCCATGTAACGTCGAACACGTCCATCAATATAGCGGCAAACACGTTCCCTCATGTAACGTCAAACATCCATCAATATAACGTCAAACACATCCATCAATATAACGTCAAACATCCATCCATGTAACGTCAAACATCCATCAATGTAACGTCAAACACACCCATCCATGTAACCTCAAACCGCATCCAAATGAAAAACAAAAAATAACAGTTCTATTGAAACATTTTAGGAACTGGTACTGTATTATAGTGAGGGAGGGGAGACAAAATATGAGACAGATCTAAGGCCAATCTCACCGGCACCCCTAAGATAAATTACCATGGCCGATTGGCCCACTATTTCAGTCATATTGCCGCGTGTCTACAGCAGAATAATGGGATGAACCCCCGTAATGCAGGCCTTAGACGTTTACCACTTTCATGAAGCCATGGGTATGGTGCGAGAAACCTAGAAACAGTGTCTTTACGATTATGGACATGAGTAGATTCACACCATCAGGGGCAACAAGAATTCTGTAATTATGATTTTGGACCAAAGCAAATCTATCCCCTGAAATGTAGACAACTACCCCTCTCCTCAATTTCATGTTTTTATATGCTCCATACCGGCCTAGGTCACTTGGTAAAATTCCTAGCCACTTCATACTTGGCACAGCAAGGTGTCTGTTTTCTGCCGCTTGTGCCTGCAAGCATATCATGGGCATACTCTATATGATTCTGTAAGTGTCATGGGCCATGCTTCTCCATGGTTGTGCACGTATATCATGGAGACACAGCGTGTATATATTATTACGTTTCTATGATTGAGACTAGTGAGTTGGCTGTATAGTTTATTTAAGTGTTCTAGCTAAATTCCGACAGTCTGAAAATAACCTAGTTGAACAGACAAACCAGTGATTAATATTATGAACAGAGTCACCGCAGTCGGGGTACAATGGCACACAACGAACAAACTCACCAAGTCTGACCATCCGAACCATTAAGGCGCCTCTTACAACACCATCAGGTTTGGGGAGACATCCAGATACCCCACGGTGTCAAACATAATGCCCTGATGGAACACACACTAGACTAGTACCATGGAACACACACTAGACTAGTACTAGACTAGTACCATGGAACACACACTAGACTAGTACTAGACTAGTACCATGGAATAGACACTGGACTAGTACCATGGAACACACACTAGACTAGTATCATGGAACACACACTAGACTAGTACCATGGAACACACACTAGATTTGTACTAGACTAGAACCATGGAATAGACACTGGACTAGTACCATGGAACACACACTAGACTAGTATCATGGAACACACACTAGACTAGTACCATGGAACACACACTGGACTAGTATCATGGAACACACACTAGACTAGTACCATGGAACACACACTGGACTAGTACCATTGAACACACACTAGACTAGTACCATGGAACACACACTGGACTAGTACCATGGAACACACACTAGACTAGTACCATGGAACACACACTAGACTAGTACCATGGAACACACACTACACTAGTACCATGGAACACACACTAGACTAGTACCATGGAACACACACTGGACTAGTACAATGGAACACACACTAGACTAGTACCATTGAACACATACTAGACTAGTACCATGGAACACACACTAGACTAGTACCATGGAACACACACTGGACTAGTACCATGGAACACACACTAGACTAGTACCATGGAACAAACACTAGACTAGTACCATTGAACACACACTGGACTAGTTCCATGGAACACACACTGGACTAGTACCATGGAACACACACTAGACTAGTACCATGGAACACACACTGGACTAGTACCATGGAACACACACTAGACTAGTACTAGACTAGTACCATGGAACACACACTAGACTAGTACCATGGAACACACACTAGACTAGTACTAGACTAGTACCATGGAACACACACTAGACTAGTACCATGGGACACACACCGGACTAGTACCATGGAACACACACTAGACTAGTACCATTGAACACACACTGGACTAGTACCATGGAACACACACTAGACTAGTATCATGGAACACACACTGGACTAGTATCATGGAACACACACTAGACTAGTACCATGGAACACACACTGGACTAGTACCATTGAACACACACTAGACTAGTACCATGGAACACACACTGGACTAGTACCATGGAACACACACTAGACTAGTACCATGGAACACACACTAGACTAGTACCATGGAACACACACTGGACTAGTACCATGGAACACACACTAGACTAGTACTAGACTAGTACCATGGAACACACACTGGACTAGTACCATGGAACACACACTAGACTAGTACGATGGAACACATACTAGACTAGTACCATGGAACACACACTAGACTAGTACCATGGAACACACACTGGACTAGTACCATGGAACACAAACTAGACTAGTACCATGGAACACACACTAGACTAGTACTAGACTAGTATCATGGAACACACACTGGACTAGTACCATGGAACACACACTAGACTAGTACTAGACTAGTACCATGGAACACACACTAGACTAGTACTAGACTCGTACCATGGAACACACACTAGACTAGTACCATGGGACACACACCGGACTAGAACCATTGAACACACACTAGACTAGTACCATGGAACACACACTGGACTAGTACCATGGAACACACACTAGACTAGTACCATGGAACACATACTGGACTAGTACCATGGAACACACACTAGACTAGTACCATGGAACACACACTGGACTAGTACCATGGAACACACACTGGACTAGTACCATGGAACATACACTAGACTAGTATCATGGAACACACACTAGACTAGTACCATGGAACACACACTGAACTAGTGCCATGGAACACACACTAGACTAGTACCATGGAACACACACTGGACTAGTGTCACGGAACACACACTAGACTAGGACCATGGAACACACACTAGAATAGTACCATGGAACACACTTTAGACTAGTACCAAAGAGATGTTTGGTTTCAAACGACTATAAGTCGCAATGTGGCTGAGATAATATATGCCACGTTAAATTTTAACTCACTCACTAACTCAAGGACCGTAAACTTACCTTGGATCCGAATCTGTACACACACATTATCTCTATACCTGAAATGTGAGAGGACAGACATAGCTACTGTCTACCACTGGTACATGAAACATCCACAGTTGTCACTCTAGAAGACATAGTCCATTATCTTTGGGAATCAATATTATCTCAACCAACGTATGTGTAATAGAACCAATGCAGACGAAGGTTGAAACTTCTACATACAGGAAGAAAACATTATTTTTTTTAATATTTCTTTAAATATTGCCCTGATACATACTTTTTGTATTGATATTTCCCTCATCATACGATGCTGGTATTTTAGTACTAAATACGAGATGCGCCAAACATCGAATCGTTACTCAATAAATGCAGATTATTTGCAGATTGAGAAACTCTACCATACCATGTTGTTTAACTCAACAATATGCCCGCTCAAAGACGGCGGTCTATAAACCATCAAGTCTGGACCAGACAATCAAGTGACTGACATCGAGCATCGATCTACACAATTGGGATACGATGACATGCATCTACCAAGTCAGCGATCCTGACCGACCAATTCCGTTAGTCGGCTCTTACACGCATTGGTTGCTGAAGATCAATTCTAATCGGGATCTTCAGGGATCATTAGCATCAGTACATCTAGTAGACAGCTATTCAAGATCATACCGTGAGGGTCAGCATCGACCAGAATAAACATGGGGAGCTGGAACCTGTCCCACAGAGCCCTCAACAGAAGCCTGGTTCCAAGGTCAGGAAAACCTTTACCCTGAATCACACATAATAAAATACCTCAGTTAATTGGCATGGAAATCAAGAGATCAATGTCACAGGGAGTGAGTGTGTCAGGTTTTACGCCGCTTTTAGCATTATTCCAGTCGCTGCAATATCAGGGTGTACCAGATTGTATTATTGAGGGGAATCGAACCCGGGCTTTTGGTGTGACCAGTGAACGCTTCTACCACTAGGCTACCCCACCGCCCGACCTTGCAATTACAACAACGTTACACCTGAAAGTTCAATTGTGTCTCTACTACATATAAAAACATGTAACATTGTAAACCCAACCCAAGTAGTTGTTCTATGGCTGAGATAATGCCGAGAAGACAATTCAAGTCACCTATAATTGTCAGCAAATAATGACTTACACTACACTAAGTACATGCACTGTACATGCTACATACACTGCTGGAATACAACGTTTCTACTCACAGTAATCATGATGCATGGCCCGAACTTCTGACAAAACTGGTCCCCCAGTAGTTTCTGAAAAGTTGCATCCTTCTCCACAATTAGGACAAGCCTGGCATGTGTGGTCATGTCTCCATGTGTTAAGGTTCAAACATGATGTGTACTCAAGATGTTAAAAAACACAACTTGTCTCAATGTAAACATTGGTTTTCTACTATCATCATCTTTCGAAATAGAGCGTTCCCAATACATTATTGAAAACCTTATTCATCATTGACTTGTAGCTCTTTCATACACAATTCAACTATAGAATGTTCAGTTAACGTTACAGGTTGTTTTGTGACAATCCGACCAGTGACATAGATATGACGTGTGATGTACGAAGCCTAATCTATTGTATGAAAGATACTCTGCATGTCCTTCATATGAGCTGGAACCGGGATCCCCTAAAAGTACATGGAAAATTCATATACAGTAAACTATGTTAATAAAGAACACACTTTTAAAGAACTGGTCACGTCCATTTGCTGTATATATGTAGTGTATATGGTGATAACGAACTACGCAAGGAACTAAAACTCTTGGTCCCTTTGAGTTCGTTCTAACCGTAGTTTTCTGTATATAATATTCATATGATATTCCTATTTCTTCATACATCTTCAATTGACCGTAGGAGTCAGTTCTTTATATCCAACATTCGCTCCAGTTGACTTCTGCAAGTTGGGGGCCCCACTGGGAATCTTACTGGTCAGCAATATTTGATGTTTCTGTTTGTTTGTTGTTTAAGGGCGCACGCGGCAATATTCCAGCTATATGACGGCGATGGGTAAAAAATCGAGTCTGGACCAGACAATCCAGTGATTGATATCATGAGCATCGATCCACGCAATTGGAATACGATGACATGCTTCAACCAAGTCAGCGAGCCTGACCTCCCGGTTAGTCGCCTTTTACGACAAGCACATGGCAAGAATGTGTTGCTGACGACCTATTGTATCAGGACCTTCAGGGTTCAGAAATATTTGATACTTGCGTTCAATGTGTTGGCTGTAAGGGGGAGTCAGCTGCTGGTTGAGGGCACCTGTACTTACTGTCCTCGTGATGCTGCAGTCAACGAAGTGGCCCTGGTCACTGTAAAACTGCACATCGCCTGCGACACTGCCTTTGCACGTAGCCAGCTTAATAACAAGAACATCATTTCCAATAATAATGAAACTTGATAATCTTGATGAATGAAAGGCAAAATGGTCTTATGTAATTGCATAACAGTTCAATGGTTCTTGAAGTAAACGTAAAATCCATGATTTACCTGAACACCCAGACCCTCATCGACATTGTAAATCCATACTCCACAGCTGTTTGGGAATTGCTGCTAAATGTTAACGCTCATTGAAATATTCGACTTTATACACTCAGTGCCGAAGAAATAACATTCGATATAAATATACAAACTGTGTGTTACTTTTACAAATCACAAATTCTCACTTACCACATGTAGTTCCCATCGTGGTGTTTCTAGTAGACAGGCGACGTTGTCCACCAGATTGTCCAAAGTTGTCTGACTCCCGAACAACTCCGGATATTGATAGTAAAGATCACTGTTCCAAGTTAAAATAGTATTGATGTTGCATTATAACTATGTGTATGGTGAAGGCGTGACTATATTTGTTTCACTCACATCATTGTAACTTCTTGGAAATATTTAGAATCTGCTGTCCGTTGGTCATATACCATAATAACGACAGGAAACCTAAAAACGTAAACTTATTGTCTGCTGAACAAAATATGCATCTAGGGAATGAGTTTTAATTGAACCTGATAAAAATGTTTTAAGCCATACCGTTTTGTATGTCAAATAAAGATGTTCAGGGGTTTCAAATCAATATCTGTGTCCTCCATGTTTATATAATTCATAGTTTCATCTTTGCGTTCAGAATATTTCCACACTTACCGTTTGGTACAATATTTATTCTGCTGAATGAGTTTATAGATGATGGACAGTATTCTTGTCATTAAACCTAAAACGACAACATTCGGTAGATATGTTTCCATTTGAAGAATAATGACGATACTGTGATCAGTAATACAGTACTAACCAGAGAAGTTATGAATTATCATAATATACAACAAACGCCCAGAATTTTCCAAAACGTTTATGTCCTTAGACCCATATACAAGATCAAAGATGCACTAGGAATCACCTGAATGAGTTTTGCACAGATTCTGTTAAGAATCTGCTTACTCTGCAAACTCAAATTATTTTATGTACAGATACATTCTTTTCCCGATCTTTTCCGACGAATCTATTTAGCTGACGCTGACTTGCGACTCAAATGTACAACCTTAGCAAACAAGCTTGGGCAAAGACGAGAACTCATGTCCATTCCGATAGCTTGGTGAAGGAAACAGTTCTACTTAAGTTATTATGTTTAATTACCTTCGATATGTATATATCAGCTGCTTCCAGTGGTGAGCAAAGATGGAAATAGAATGGTTTTAGCTAAAACTACATACATATTACCAGTTACTGGAGCTTACAATTTCAACTTACCAAACTTCTTTACAGATTGGAGACTGTCAAATCGTACATGAGACAACTTTTGATCTTTTGCAGGCTCAATACCGACGCTGTTTTCAAACCTGTACATACATAATATATTGCACTGAAACTAAATTTAACACTGCGCCATTTTCATTTCACCGAATTACGCAACTCCTAAACTTATTGTGTGTGATTGACACAAAAGAAAAGGCAAAGCAAATAATTGGGTATATTAGGACCAGTGTTTCCAGGGCATGTGTAATGCCTATTAACTGATAATAATTACTGTAGTTACTAGTTATAAAAGATACTTTATCTGACATATTAATCTGTGTCAGCATATGGAAAATATTCATACAAGGCACACTAGGCTCAGTGTTTCAGTTCAGCTCTTTCCCTCAAAAACTGACTGATGCGATTCTTTCCAAAAAAATTATTCTCTGTGATAAATGTAGCACTGTCCTATCAACAACGGAGGATATCATGAAACTGCTCCTTAATTTCATTATGCCATGTGTCTCTGGCTTCTTGTGGGCAATTTATGACACGTTTTGAGACTGAAGCATTGTGAGTCATAATGAACACTCTCTGGAACTAGATGACAACAGGAGTGTGCCAGGGCATGTAGATCATGATCATTTTGGCTCTTTCTCAATTTATGTCATTTGTATCTCAGAAACCAGACCACATTGTTGAAAGTTGTACAGGTCGTGGAGTCATCCCACAGATGAGATCCTTACCTTTTGGGCTTGCTGACGGGCTTAACCACTTTGGTCAAGTGGACAAGGCGTTCGTCCGACCTCGGATGTTTCGAACCCCATCACAGGGCTCGGAAATTGTATGGCCGCTACATAATGATTGTATTAAATCATATGACTTCAACTACCGAGGGGTTGTGTGATACAGGAGTTCAAAAAAAGAAGAAGTGAGCCGTAACAGTAATGGAACATTTGAAACTCTCGACGAAACATCACCTGACACTGTCCCATGACGACTTGTTTGTGTAGCTGAAGATAGGTGCATCACCTTTGGATATAGATTGTGTCATTTGAAGGATAACTTTTTCGATCTTCTTCAGAATGTCACCCCTGTAAGTAGAAAACTTTAAATGGGTAGTAGTCCCGTGAAGATTCCGGTTAGACTTGGGCTTCAGCAACCCATGTTTGTCGTAAGAGACTAACGGGATCGGGTGGTCAGACTTGCATGTCATGTATCCCAACTGCGTAGATCGATGCGCATGATGTCAACCACTTCATTGTCCGGTCCTTACTCGATTATTTACAAACCGCTATCATATAGCTGTAATATTGCGGAGGTAAACAACAAACAAATGGGTAATAGCGCGGATCTGTTAGGCCTATTGCATTTGCAGGCTAAATAAAGCGTAATGCTATAAAGAAGCGGGTCCTATATTATATTAAATCTAACGTGAACGTCAGAAGGATGCACCGTGTTCAAACAACATTCCTAAACAATCCTAACTCATAGGAACGATCGTAGGACTCGAAAGATATAATGGGTTATGGAAAATGATATTTTATGTAGGCCTATAACTATAAGGATCTATAAGTCTACTAATTCATATGTACAGTGGCACGTCCTTTATAAACTAGAACACACCTTTCATTGACAAATAAAACCGATTGCGCCTCCTGAGTATTCTTCGGGTCTTCCTTTCTTTTCGTTTGCCGCCACTGGACACATAAGTGGCGACTTAGAAGGTCCACGGCATGCCAAAAGTCTGCACTATTATTCATCGTCTGCTATTTCGTCAACAAAATACAATCTCGCTGAGAGTAGCCCCCCTTCTTTCAATCATTCCTCACACCAACATGCAGCGTGATCAATGTGCCTAAAATTATTACAAAAGCTGTTTCATTATCCTTAAAACAAAGGAGTTAGTACGCAGACGTTTACTAAGCAGCAGCATGTTTACATTTTAACGTCTGTATCACTGTGTATCCAGTAAATTACAGTAAGATTCAATCTTTTCAAGTTTTGAATTGGTATCAGCGATGTGAGGAGTTCAATAGGTCAGCTCACAAGTTACCTCCCCTGAGTAGATTGTCTGCCCCTTGCTCACGAGTCATCATCAGCTGGAATGGAAACATCCGGTCGTCAGTAAAGTGTGCGTGCTTTATTTGTTCTTCATTTCTTTGCTTATGTAGGTTAGAATTCATTTACAGGACTTGATTTACTCTAATTGATGGTGTTACTGACTGATTTCTGTGCGACGGATGTGAAAACACAGCAAGTTAATTTTACGTAAAGCCCCTTATTATTGATCAGCCTCAGATATGAAGATCCTGACGAACACACAATCTTAGGTGCTTATTTAATCTTTGGACAGAACATTGGCCCAACTATTTTGCACCCATCTTATTAAAACTATCAAGACAACTGTCGAAGACAGTCAAAAGATTTGATCATTTTTGCATGGAAATTTGATATTGCATTTGACGAGGTTACTTCCAAATAAACTGTCAAAAATGTATTTTGTTGAGAACCAACTCCCCTTACCAAATAAAAGTAATAAGTAATAAGAGATAGAAATAAATATTGATCTTCAATACCGCTGCTGATGAATAAAAAGAACACATCACAGTTTAAGGGACAGTACCTCCATCACAGTTTATAGGGACAGTACCTCCACTAGACCTTTAGTTCATGCTCAACTGATTTCACAAACCAAAACAACAGAGCTCAGTACAGCAAAATCAACAACCCAAACACTGTTTTTTATTTGAGGTAAATTGAAGAGAAATTTCATGTCTTTTCTTACAGATGAGTTGCAAATATTAATTGCCAGCTTGATTAGATTAGAAGCCAGTGTTTATCAAAGTCAAGATTACAATATACAGTAGAACATGGATATAACAAACTACAAGGGACCAGAGAAATCAGTTCGTTATATCCGTTGTTAGTTATATACGTTTTCGCTCGGAAATGTTCGCCATCTTGGATAAAACCAGAGACAATACACGTAATTGCAGCATTGACTTGTTTTAGCAGTGATTACTTCATAGCATTCAATTGATAACATTTGATAACATTCATTTAAGTTTAACAAGGTTAATCCATCACTGCTGATTGTGTTGATTGCCCACGATTGTGTTGATTCACTGCTGATTGCATACAGTCAATTGTCAGTGACACTTGACACTGAGTGAGATTTCTTAGTTTGCTATACACGTCACTAATAACTGATAGATGGGCTTGTCGGTGATCAGATATCAGTTTGCTGTATCTGTTGGTTCGCTGTAGAGAGTTTGTCATATATGTAAATTTTATATGATATTATATAGGAGATAAATCGGGGATTTTTTAACAGTTTGGTCTATCCGTTTGTTCGCTCTATCTGTGTTCTACTGTATATATGCCTCGGTTGTATGAAGCAAATTACTCTCCTACCCAGAGTTCCTTCCGTCCAGGCGAGTACCTCTGCCACATCATCACATCTTACACAGTCCATTCATTTGTTTTTCATCTGTTTCAAGTCTACACATTTAGATATACATATGTCATGAAATGTTTAACTTTCATATACAGAATATCCTAAAACATGAAACGCTATTTCCACTTGTGTATCTATTCTGTGCATGCTGTTATAGAAACTCTATGGAGAGCTAACAATATGGTCACTTTGATATGTAAAGCTATGTTGTCATGCGCCTCACTGTCGCAGATGTCGTGGTGTATCAATTTAATTATGCAAAACAACATGTAAGCATCTTCCCGAGGCAAGTGAGTTAACTGACTATAAAAGTCCAGTTTCCACCCTTGCCGAACTAGGCTGGTATTATGGAGTTAAATTTTGGCTGGACTAACGAGTCTATGCATAGTCCAATCAAAATCGCGCACTGAAATCGAAATCCGGTTCGTAAAGTGTCATGCAGATTTCGGTCGACTGCAGGATTTGCAAAGCATGTGCACCGCTAACTCGTTGTCAACAGATATTTTCTAAATCTTTTCATGCTTTTAATCAAGGTGCTCACGTGATTTGATGCACTTCGCGATGTAAGACTCGTTTTATCACAATACAGATCTTGATTATCAATCAGATCGTCTTGACTGGGCGCCACCGTTTTGTTTGAAGCAAATGCAAGTGATACGAGAGGTTGAATCTGTTTGGTCAATAGGAGAGGCATAGAAAGGACATAACTCGTAATAACCACTGGTGGCGCTACGATCGAGCCCAGGAATTCCAGCCTAGTTCGGCAAGGGTGGAAACTGGACTTTTAAAGTCAGTTAACTCTCTTGCCACGGGAAGATGCATCTAAGAGACAGGGCAAGGTTTTTCTGTTCTTATTTGAGAATAAGTGTGTTAGTTTACAAACAAGATAAAAGTCTGGTCATGTGATAAACCTACATCCACAGGGTGGTCATAGGAACAGAAACTTCTCTTGCGGAATAAGCGAGTAGAGCAAAATAAGCTCAGGGGTTATCAGGTATTGTTTACAAACAATGCTTCAGAACGGTCAATGTTCTGGCCCATTAAGTTACTGATAAATTGATAATATGTTTTATCCATACAATTGCTAAAAAACTGTCACAGCCATTGACCATGTTTGAGCCAGGGAAATGGAGGTAGACAGAACAAGTCGTTACATTTTTCTCAATGATTTCCAAGGCACAAGTGGCCCAGTGATCTACATGGTATAGAGTGCCACAACACAGTATAGTCCCTTTGTCTACCAGGATGTCCTGGTATGATCCTGGGTTAACCTGTGCTCAAGTGTTTCACTAATGTGGTGTATGTCTTTATGCCTTAATGCTGGGGCTTTTCTTCAGCAAGGTCAAGCATTGTGCATGCCATGATGGTGTAAACTGAGGTGTATCTTCTGTTACAGATCTGTCCATCTTCTTGCCACAGCCCCAATGTACACATTGCTATCCGGCCTGTATAAGTACTTGTTCCAGAAAGATGAATACTTCGTCCTCATCCTGGGACTTGACAATGCTGGAAAAACGGTAGGGATAATATTTATTTTTCTTTATTAGCTGTTGTTAAAATTTAATATTTCCCTTGAAGATTTATAACCCATAAAGTGACTAGAATCATCCTCAGGATATGTTTTTTTAGGAGGCAGAAGGGTAACTTTATATGAGGGAAAACACCTGTATCATCCCAAACTGGTTCCAACAGGAGATATCGCTTGGGTGATGTCTTATGCGATGTTCTACATTTAATGAATGAACACTGAGTCAATTCCTAGACTTAACCAATTTGATTTATCCACTGTTAACCCCAGTATGCAAAACAGACCCTGATTATACTTCATGATGATTCCTCAAATAATGCATACTTTTGTGGAGAATTGGTAGGTGGTATGAAGCAGTTAAGACAATCATAAGACGAATAAGATACGACTAATACAACATATTTATGAATAGTTTGCGAAAATCGGTACATTTCCTGACACTTTGGCATGTTCTTGGGTCCCGAAAGGCTGGCCAACCCATCATTTCCACCATGGAGGTTCAACGGAGAGCATGTGTTGCTCTGGTTCTGGCCCTTGGGGAATCATGTTGTTCTTACTTAATTTTTACATGATTCGTAGTTGACTCGGGACATTTGTGGCTTTTTTGGGTTGAGGACAAGAAATTCTGGGAGCCACAAATCGCTAAGAATAGCCAAGAATGCAAAAGAATCGATTATGAAGCTGTTACGGAACATTAATTACGAATGGATTATGATACAGCCAAGAAATTGCAATTCGGGGACCCTTCCACGAAAGTTTTTGACAAACAAAACCTTTCTCACCGATTCAACGAACTCCCGCAAACTGAACAAATGTTTTGGAATCAAATAAGATTCATTTAAGAACTTAAAGGAATGATCGAGATTTATCTATGAGCATGAACAATTTCCTATTCGGTGTGATTTGGGATATTCATGGATGTAGTGAAATGGGGGCATTAGAAAGAACATGTGGTTGGTCGACTGTTGAGCCCACATGCAAACTAGACTGGTCATGTGTATGATACCTGACCTGATACATGGGAGATACCTGATCTAGTTGGTACATACCAGCACTAGTTGTGAGATATTGGTACTATATAGAAATGTCTACAGTTGTTACTTTTGTCCAGACATATCTGGAGCAGACGAAGACCAAGTTCAACAGGAGCTACCAGGGCATGAATCTATCCAAGATCACCAGCACAGTTGGCCTCAACAGTAAGTCTCTTGGTTGGTTGGTCTCTGGGGGCACTGGTGGCGATGGTTGTAAGGAAATTATAATGGCTAAATCGTATTTATTTAAAGTGATGTCTTACAGGGTGGATCCAGGATTTTAAAAGTGGAGGGTGATCCACTTGGGTCATTTGTAACTTCTGTGGGGTGGGGGGCCACCAAAAAGCCACACTATTTTTAAACCATTATTAATTTTACTTTTAACAACCAAATCAACATGTTATCATGGTAGGCAATATGCATACAATATGCATGTTAAAAAGCAAACCTGGATCCGCCACTGCCTCAGACATTTTATTTACACCATACCTCAAAGAGTTACTTCCCTTCCTCCATCATGTCCATGGATCTACTTCTGTTCAGGGGAGCAGTAAACGAGGTAGGGTGAAATGGGGTTTGACGTCGTGTCCAAGATTATTGCACTTACATAGCGACATGCATGCATGTATGTATGTGTGGCTGCTTGTACTAGTCCAGACTGATGCCAAATTATAGTGCTGGCCCACTGAGAAACGATGCTGCAGTTTAACATAAATACCCCACTCAGACACAGGATATTGACTCCAAGCCGACCAGTCCTTGTTTAAGCCCCTTAAATGTCAAGCGCCAGACAGGGTAACAACAAGTACCATCTTTTAACGTCTCTTGGTGTGACGCCACTGGTGATCTAACCCCGGATCTTCCGCTCTCCGGGCGGACGCTCTACCACTGGACCACGGAGGCGAACATCAGTAAACAAAGTAGTTAAGACATCAATACATCTTCTGTACCAAGGCATGTTTACAGAAAGTGCTGCCTTAGAACTTCTGCAGGCTGCTCTGAGTGATTGTCTCCCTTTCATTTCTAGTTGGGAAGATTGACTTGGGCAAGGTGCGTCTCAACTTCTGGGATCTAGGGGGTCAGGAGGAACTTCAGTCCCTGTGGGACAAGGTGAGACCAGTTGCGGACAAGTCTAGTATTCCCTGGTCATAATGGCTGTCCTTTCATGCAGGCCGGGAAACAAACATAGCAAACAATTCCCTCATTTCTGTTATAACCTCACCTTTTTTTTCAAGCGACGTTGCTTATATTATGATGAATGATAAATCAAAACTAAAATATGTGTTCTACAGGTAGATGATTTCTTCCACCATATATTTCAGCTATATCCTGATAGAAAAATATCCTCATTGAAAGGCGTGATCTCCATTGCCTATAAACATCTGCTGCATTCAAGTGATGTCACCTGTTTTCGAACACCTGATTAGTTTTGTACTTTTGCGGGATTTCCATGAATGAACTGCCATGTATGGCACACACTCAGACTGGGAGTGTGCACTGTCAAGTCGGCAGCTTTGATGACATCACACATCTTATTATAATTAGACAAACCACGATTAATATGGCTGTTCAAAAACAGGGTACTCAACAATATATAAAAAGCCAGTTGCAAAAAAAGAAAGTTTCGAAATATTTTTATTTCTCGTGATTAAACATGTAAAGTTTCCATGTTGTAACAGTGTGTATCTGTGTGTGTGTTTCAGTACTACGCCGAGTCCCATGCAGTCATCTACATCGTGGACTCCTCCGACACAGAGAGACTGGAGGAATCCAAAACAGCATTCGGTATGTTGTGATATGTGCATGCTTTTACTAGTCCGGACTGATGCCGATTTTATAGTCCAAGCCCACTGAGATACCATGCCTCAGTTTAACATGAATACCCCATTCACATTCAGTATAATGAGTCCGAGCCTTGTTTTACTCCCTTAATGCCGAGCGCTTTTACCATGTTTACGTCTTTTGGAATGACGGGGCAGGGGATCGAACCCCAGACCTTCCACTGTCCGGACGGACTCAGACACTACGGAGACGGTCTTTATTCTGAGACATGTTACAGTGATTTGCAACCTCAGATTTATCAATCAAACTCTGGATGGGATGGTAAATCAGACATTCATTCCAACATGTGTTCTGCTTGTCATGACCGTGTGTTCTGTTTGTCGTGACTGTGTCTTCTGCTTGTTGTGACTGTCTTCTCCTTTTCATGAGTGTGTCTTCTGCTTGTCGTGACCGTTTCTCTGCTTGTCGTGACCCTGTGTTCTGTTTGTTGTGACCGTGTCTTCTGCTTGTCGTGACCGTGTCTTCTGCTTGTCATGACCGTGTCTTCTGTTTGTCGTGACCGTGTCTTCTGCTTGTCGTGACTGTGTCTTCTGCTTGTCGTGACCGTGTCTTCTGCTTGTCGTGACTGTGTCTTCTGCTTGTCGTGACTGTGTCTTCTGCTTGTCGTGACCGTGTCTTCTGCTTGTCGTGACCCTGTCTTCTGCTTGTCGTGACTGTGTCTTCTGCTTGTCGTGACCGTGTCTTCTGCTTGTTGTGACTGTGTCTTCTGCTTGTCGTGACTGTGTGTTCTGCTTGTCATGAGTGTGTGTTTCTTTGTTTAGATAAGATGATCACGAACAGCAGCCTGTGCGGAGTGCCCCTGATGTTGCTGGCCAACAAGCAGGACCTTGATGTAAGAATGACACGCTAACTTGTAACAACCCCACTGCAGCACAGTGTAGGCATGTTTGTTTGTTTGTTTGTTTGTTTTTTGTTTAACGCCGCACTCAGCAATATTCCAGCTATATGACGGCGGTCTGTAAAGTATTTGAGTCTGGACCAGACAATCCAGTGATTGACATCATGAGCATCGACCCACGCAATTGGGATCGATGGCATGTATCAACCTAGTCAGCAAGCCTGACCACCCGATCCCGTTAGTCGCCTATTATGACAAGCATAGTCGCCTTTTACGGCAAGTATAGGTTGCTGAAGACCTATTCTACCCCAGAATCTTCACGGGTCGTGTAGGCATGTATATACCCACCACCAAAATAAACGCAAACAATAGAATTATTTAGAGAAGTATGTACTTTAAGAAGAGATGTTTCCAGTGTGTACCAATTATTGACAAGACTAACAATCGGTTAGCACAGAGTGTCTTTATTCTTATCAAGATATGCTGCACATGATTTCCAAACTTTACACGCTAATCCATGAAGATCCAAGATACAATAGGTCTTCAGCAACCCATGCTTGCCATAAAAGGCGACTATGCTTGTCGTAAGAGGCGACTTGCGGGATCGGGTGGTCAGGCTCACTGACTTGGTTGATGCAAGTCATCGTGTTCCAATTGCGAGGATTGAGCTCATAATGTCAATCACTGGATTGTCTGGTCCAGACTTGATTATTTACAGACTGACGTCATATAGCTGGAATATTGGTGAGTGCAGCGTTAAACAACAAACAACAAACCAACCAACAACACGCTAATCCTGCACGAGACACATGGTTTATGATGGTGACGTCTTACTGTTTATGACGGTGACACCACACTGTGACATCACAATGTGACACCACACTGTTTATGACGGTGACACAACAATGTTTATGACAGTGACACCACACTATTTATGATAGTGACACCACACTGTTTATCATGGTGACACCACACTGTTTATCACGGTGACACCACACTGTTTATCACGGTGACTACTAACTATTGATGACGGTGACACCACACTACTTATGACAGTGACACCTCACTGTTTAAGAAGGTGACACCACACTGTTTATGACGGCGGCACCACACTGTGACACCATACTGTTTATGACGGTGACACCACAATATTTTATGAAAGTGACACCACACTATTTATGATGGTGACACCACATTGTTAATGACGATGACACCACACTGTTTATCACGGTGACACCACACTGTTTATCACGGTGACACCACACTGTTTATTACAGTGACACGTAACTATTGATGACTGTGACACCACACTACTTATGACAGTGACACCTCACAATTTAAGAAGGTGACACCACACTGTTTATGACGGTGACACCACAATGTTTTATGAAAGTGACACCACACTATTTATGATGGTGACACCACATTGTTAATGACGATGACACCACACTGTTTATCACGGTGACACCACACTGTTTATCACGGTGACACCACACTGTTTATTACAGTGACACGTAACTATTGATGACTGTGACACCACACTACTTATGACAGTGACACCTCACAATTTAAGAAGGTGACACCACACTGTTTATGACGGTGACACCACAATGTTTTATGAAAGTGACACCACACTATTTATGATGGTGACACCACATTGTTAATGACGATGACACCACACTGTTTATAACGGTGACACCACACTGTTTATCACGGTGACACCTAACTATTGATGACTGTGACACCACACTACTTATGACAGTGACACCTCACTGTTTAAGAAGGTGACACCACACTGTAACACCACACTGTGTATGACAGTGACAACCTCATTGTTTATGATGGTGACACTACACTGTTTATGACAGTGACACCACACTGTTTATGATGGTGACACTACACTGTTTATGACAGTGACACCACACTGTGTATGACAGAGACACCACACTGTTTATGACGGTGACACCACAATGTTTATGACTGTGACACCACACTGTTTATGACAGTGACAACCTCATTGTTTATGATGGTGACACTACACTGTTTATGACAGTGACACCACACTGTTTATGACGGTGACACTACACTGTTTATGACTGTGACACCACACTGTTTATGATGTTTACAACAAACAACAAACCAACCAACAACACGCTAATCCTGCACGAGACACATGGTTTATGATGGTGACGTCTTACTGTTTATGACGGTGACACCACACTGTGACATCACAATGTGACACCACACTGTTTATGACGGTGACACAACAATGTTTATGACAGTGACACCACACTATTTATGATAGTGACACCACACTGTTTATCATGGTGACACCACACTGTTTATCACGGTGACACCACACTGTTTATCACGGTGACTACTAACTATTGATGACGGTGACACCACACTACTTATGACAGTGACACCTCACTGTTTAAGAAGGTGACACCACACTGTTTATGACGACGGCACCACACTGTGACACCATACTGTTTATGACGGTGACACCACAATATTTTATGAAAGTGACACCACACTATTTATGATGGTGACACCACATTGTTAATGACGATGACACCACACTGTTTATCACGGTGACACCACACTGTTTATCACGGTGACACCACACTGTTTATTACAGTGACACGTAACTATTGATGACTGTGACACCACACTACTTATGACAGTGACACCTCACAATTTAAGAAGGTGACACCACACTGTTTATGACGGTGACACCACAATGTTTTATGAAAGTGACACCACACTATTTATGATGGTGACACCACATTGTTAATGACGATGACACCACACTGTTTATAACGGTGACACCACACTGTTTATCACGGTGACACCTAACTATTGATGACTGTGACACCACACTACTTATGACAGTGACACCTCACTGTTTAAGAAGGTGACACCACACTGTAACACCACACTGTGTATGACAGTGACAACCTCATTGTTTATGATGGTGACACTACACTGTTTATGACAGTGACACCACACTGTTTATGATGGTGACACTACACTGTTTATGACAGTGACACCACACTGTGTATGACAGTGACACCACACTGTTTATGACGGTGACAACCTCATTGTTTATGACGGTGACACTACACTGTTTATGACAGTGACACCACACTGTTTATGATGGTGACACCACACTGTTGATGACAGTGACACCACACTGTGTATGACAGTGACACCACACTGTTTATGACGGTGACACCACAATGTTTATGACTGTGACACCACACTGTTTATGACAGTGACAACCTCATTGTTTATGATGGTGACACTACACTGTTTATGACAGTGACACCACACTGTTTATGACGGTGACACTACACTGTGTATGACAATGACACCACACTGTTTATGACGGTGACACCACAATGTTTATGACTGTGACACCACACTGTTTATGACAGTGACAACCTCATTGTTTATGATGGTGACACTACACTGTTTATGACAGTGACACCACACTGTTTATGACGGTGACACTACACTGTTTATGATGGTGACACCACAATGTTTATGACTGTGACACCACACTGTTTATGACAGTGACAACCTCATTGTTTATGATGGTGACACTACACTGTTTATGACAGTGACACCACACTGTTTATGACGGTGACACCACCATGTTTATGACTGTGACACCACACTGTGACACCACACTGTTTATGACAGTGACAACCTCATTGTTTATGATGGTGACACTACACTGTTTATGACGGTGACACCACACTGTTTATGACAGTGACACAACACTGTCACACCACACTGTTTATGATGGTGACACCACACTGAGACACCACACTGTTTATGACAGTGACACCACACTGTTTATGATGGTGACACCACACTGTTAATCAAGGTGACACCACACTGTTTATGACGGTGACACCACACTGTTTATGACGGTGACACCACACTGTGACACCACACTGTTTATGATGGTGACACCACACTGTTTATCAAGGTGACACCACACTGTTTATGACGGTGACACCACACTGTTTATGATAGTGACACAACACTGACACCACACCGTTTATGATGGTGACACCACACTGTTTATGATGGTGACACCACACTGTTTATCAAGGTTACACCACACTGTTTATGACAGTGACACCACACTGTTTATCAAGGTGACACCACACTGTTTATCAAGGTGACACCACACCATCTATGACTTGTGACACCACACTGTTTATGGCAGTGACACCACACTGTGACACCACATTGTTTATGATGGTGACACCATGCTCTATATGATGGTGACACCACAATGTATATGACGTGCGACACCATGCTCTATATGATGGTGACACCACTCTGTATATGACGTGTGACACCATACTCTATATGATGGTGACACCACTCTGTATATTACGTGTGACACCATGCTCTATATGATGGTGACACCACACTGTGACACCACACTGTTTATGATGGTGACACCAAACTGTATATGACGTGAGACACCATGCTCTATATGATGGTGACACCACTCTGTATATGACGTGTGACACCATGCTCTATATGATGGTGACACCACTCTGTATATGACGTGTGACACCATGCTCTATATGATGGTGACACTACTCTGTATGTGACGTGTGACACCATGCTCTATATGATGGTGACACCACTCTGTATATGGCGTGTGACACCATGCTCTATATGATGGTGACACTACTCTGTATGTGACGTGTGACACCATGCTCTATATGATGGTGACACCACACTGTGACACCACACTGTTTATGATGGTGACACCACACTGTATATGACGTGTGACACCATGCTCTATATGATGGTGACACCACACTGTGACAACACACTGTTTATGATGGTGACACCAAACTGTATATGACGTGAGACACCATGCTCTATATGATGGTGACACCACTCTGTAAATGACGTGTGACACCATGCTCTATATGATGGTGACACCACTCTGTATATGACGTGTGACACCATGCTCTATATGATAGTGACACCACTCTGTATATGACGTGTGACACCATGCTCTATATGATGGTGACACTACTCTGTATGTGACGTGTGACACCATGCTCTATATGATGGTGACACCACACTGTGACACCACACTGTTTATGATGGTGACACCACACTGTATATGACGTGTGACACCATGCTCTATATGATGGTGACACCACTCTGTATATGACGTGTGACACCATGCTCTATATGATGGTGACACTACTCTGTATATGATGTATGACATCATGCTCTATATGATGGTGACACCACACTGTGACACCACACTGTTTATGATGGTGACACCACACTGTATATGACGTGTGACACCATGCTCTATATGATGGTGACACCACTCTGTATATGACGTGTGACACCATGCTCTATATGATGGTGACACCACTCTGTATATGACGTGTGACACCATGCTCTATATGATGGTGACACCACTCTGTATATGACGTGTGACACCATGCTCTATATGATGGTGACACCACTCTGTATATGACGTGTGACACCATGCTCTATATGATGGTGACACTACTCTGTATATGATGTGTGACACCATGCTCTATATGATGGTGACACCACACTGTGACACCACACTGTTTATGATGGTGACACCACACTGTATATGACGTGTGACACCATGCTCTATATGATGGTGACACCACTCTGTATATGACGTGTGACACCATGCTCTATATGATGGTGACACCACTCTGTATATGACGTGTGACACCATGCTCTATATGATGGTGACACTACTCTGTATATTACGTGTGACACCATGCTCTATATGATGGTGACACCACACTGTGACACCACACTGTTTATGATGGTGACACCACACTGTATATGACATGTGACACCATGCTCTATATGATGGTGACACCACTCTGTATATGACGTGTGACACCATGCTCTATATGATGGTGACACCACTCTGTATATGACGTGTGACACCATGCTCTATATGATGGTGACACCACACTGTTTATGATGGTGACACCACTCTGTATATGACGTGTGACACCATGCTCTATATGATGGTGACACCACTCTGTATATGACGTGTGACACCATGCTCTATATGATGGTGACACCACTCTGTATATGACGTGTGACACCATGCTCTATATGATGGTGACACCACACTGTTTATGACGTGTGACACCATGCTCTATATGATGGTGACACCAGACTGTATATGACGTGTGACACCATGCTCTATATGATGGTGACACCACTCTGTATATGACGTGTGACACCACACTGTTTATGATGGTGACACCACACTGTATATGACGTGTGACACCATGCTCTTTATGATGGTGACACCACACTGTTTATGACGTGTGACACCATGCTCTATATGATGATGACACCACACTGTTTATGACGTGTGACACCATGCTCTATATGATGGTGACACCACTCTGTATATGACGTGTGACACCATGCTCTATATGATGGTGACACCACACTGTGACACCACACTGTTTATGATGGTGACACCACACTGTATATGATGTGTGACACCATGCTCTATATGATGGTGACACCACTCTGTATATGACGTGTGACACCATGCTCTATATGATGGTGACACCACTCTGTATATGACGTGTGACACCATGCTCTATATGATGGTGACACCACTCTGTATATGACGTGTGACACCATGCTCTATATGATGGTGACACCACACTGTATATGACGTGTGACACCATGCTCTATATGATGGTGACACCACACTGTATATGACGTGTGACACCATGCTCTATATGATGGTGACACCACTCTGTATATGACGTGTGACACCATGCTCTATATGATGGTGACACCACTCTGTGACACCACACTGTTTATGATGGTGACACCACACTGTATATGACGTGTGACACCATGCTCTATATGATGGTGACACCACTCTGTATATGACGTGTGACACCATGCTCTATATGATGGTGACACCACTCTGTATATGACGTGTGACACCATGCTCTATATGATGGTGACACCACTCTGTATATGACGTGTGACACCATGCTCTATATGATGGTGACACCACTCTGTATATGACGTGTGACACCATGCTCTATATGATGGTGACACCACTCTGTATATGTCATGGGGCACCATGCTCTATATGATGGTGACACCACTCTGTATATGTCATGGGGCACCATGCTCTATATGACGTGTGACACCACTCTGTATATGTCATTGGGCACCATGCTCTATATGATGGTGACACCACTCTGTATATGACTTGTGACACCATGCTCTATATGATGGTGACACCACTCTGTATATGACGTGTGACACCATGCTCTATATGATGGTGACACCACTCTGTATATGATGTGTGACACCATGCTCTATATGATGGTGACACCACTCTGTATATGACGTGTGACACCATGCTCTATATGATGGTGACACCACTCTGTATATGACGTGTGACACCATGCTCTATATGATGGTGACACCACTCTGTATATGTCATGGGGCAGTGGGGCAGAAGCCGCTTGACTATACACAAGACCAGCTGTCACCATGTGATGATACCAAACACAATGTGAGTCATTCTCTATCTATATGTATCATTTCACAAATTATTTAATTATCTGCACAGCAGATGGTCTCCCATTTGATGATATTTTGCTTAACCATTGCAATTAATTCTTGAGCAATGTTGACTCTAACATTCTGAGCATCTATTGGCTTAAAGTAACCTGAAAGAATAAGAATATTTTTCCCCTCTCTTTTATCAAAATGGGAATACTCAGTTTATCATAGGAAATATATCCAGTCATGGTGTATTGTTTTGGTCCCTTTCTTGACTTGCCTTTCCTCCAGATATTGTTTGACACATAAGATGTCTCCTATATACCCTCACACCAAGTCAGGGATCTCAGAGACCTATATCAGTTCAACGTTCCAGAGTTTAGTATGTTCATATCACCTATATACCCTCATACAAGTCAGTTCAACGTTCCAGAGTTTAGTATATTCATATCACTTATATACCCTCACACAAGTCAGGGATCTCAGAGACCTATATCAGTTCAACGTTCCAGAGTTTAGTATGTTCATATCACCTATATACCCTCACACAGGTCAGGGATCTCAGACACCTATATCAGTTCAACGTTCCAGAGTTTAGTATATTCATATCACCTACCTATATACATTTAGGTGAGGGCAGTGTGTTAGACCAGACCAGTGGATAAAGTGTTTGTCTTGTAGTGTAAGACCAAGGTCAGATTTGTCACAGAGGTTCTAGATGTTATATTTTAAAAGCCTGTCCCCAACTAAAATTGGTTTGAAACTAAAATCACTTCAAATAAAATGAAGTTCCCCCAGCCTACAATGAAGTATGATGCTCTCCCTACAAGTTACAGAGAGAGGTCTACAAAAATGGGGTTTTCATTTCAATAATTACTTCCTTCCAGTTGAAGGACATATGCTGGTGATTGCCAGGTATATCATGTCACAAGATAATGTTTGTAAGTGATGGGTTCATGGAGGACAGGTACATATGGAATAGTCTCTCAAGTTTGCTATGTTGTCCCCAGGGCTGTGTGAAGGTGTCCGACATGAAGGCTATCTTCAGCCCCAGCCAGGAGCTGATTGGCCACAGAGACCTGCACGTGTCGGGAGTGTCTGCACTCAAAGGGTGAGTACGGAGATGTTATACATTTAGGATAAAGCACGTCTAAGGGTTTTTATCCCAAGGATAAGAGTTTTAAATTTCATAAAACAAAGAAAACATTTGTCATTTGATTTTACGTTTCATTACATTGTGTTAAAATGCAAAAAAAAATTCTAGCCAGAAACATTCATATGTTACAGTCTAAACAGAAGTTAATTAAATCCCTGGGGTATTATATTAAATCCCTGGGATATTATATGAAATACCTGGGATATTATATAAAATACCTGGGATATTATATTAAATACCTGGGATATTATATAAAATCCTGGGTATATTATAACATCCCTGTTTATGAGATTTAACCCTACTGGAGAACATTAGGATGACGTACGTCACTGGAGGTTTAAAAAAGGTGATGTGGTAGATACAATACAACAGTATGCAATAACAGAATATATCTTACCCTCAGGCTATAACATCAGTGCACACATTTGCATATTCAGCTGATAATCAATTGTGTGAAACATATTCGTTCAGGATTAGCAAGGAATATGGGCTGTCTCCTCGTGGTAGGCCTGTCACCCTCAGCTGACATAAAACAAAGTACAAATAGTTCAACTCCACGGTCAGAGACCCAGTTTCTTCCCTGATATCTGTGAGGAACAGTTACTGTTAGACACTATTGTCTTGCTACTTGGGCGGCCCTCGCTTGTCACCAAGGACCACTCACTACTAGACCCGGGCCTTATGTTCACTCACATCTTCACACTTGTGTGCGGGCAGTAGGGTAGCCTAGTTGTTAAAGCGGTCTCTCGTCACAGCGAAGACCCGGGTTCGATGCCCAACATGGGTACAATGTGTGAAGCCCATTTCTGGTGTCCCACGCCGTGATATTGCTGGAATATTGCTAAAAGCGGCATAAAACCATACTCACTAACTCACTGACTCACTCACACTCGTGTTTAGGATCCAGTCTCATTCAAATCAGATCTTTCACTTCGACACAATACACTCTCGGTGTAATGATCTGGGAACACTCTCATAGGAGGATGCATCAGGGTAACTTTCTGATTAGCCAATCAGCAATGAGGCTTCCAACTTCTTGGTACAGGTGAACGAAGTATTCAGACCACAGATTTCTGTATCTCGAAACGAGCTCAATAGACCTTTGCTGCCTTTATGTTGTTGTGGATGTTGTTGTGGTTGTTGTTGTGGATGTTGTTCACCCTGTCTGGTCTGTCTCTGAGTCACGGCCAAAAGAGGGTATGGGAGGTAACTCCAGGGAGCAGTTACTGGGATACGACTGGTACAACAACTTTATTTATATCAAGAATACAATCCTGTGAGTCTTTTTCCATGGATACACGCGACCTGAAATCAACAATATGCATAATGTAATGCAGGCTAATAGGCATTAAATAGAGAATATATTCTGATATTCTAAAAACATTTTGAACAATGTTTCAAATAATTATTTTTTGTTTCATTTTGTGAAACATATTGGGAAACATTATATAAGATTTAATCTGATAAAATGGAGACAGCTTGAGTCTAATCCTGCATGAGTCATACATACCACCTGGTACACAGCCAGTGACAGACACCTGATACATGTAGACACTACAGTGACAGACATCTGATACATGTAGCCACTACAACAGCTGAAGTACATACTGTGGCTTCTGAGCTTTCTTTCTTTGTCTTTGTTTGTTGTTTAACGCCGCACTCAGCAATATTTCAGCTATATGACAGCGGTCTGTAAAAAATCTAGTCTTGACCAGACAATCGAGTTAATGACATCATGAGCATCTATCCACGCAATTAGGATACAATGACATGTATCAACCAAGTCAGTGAGCCTGACCACCGATCCTGTTAGTTGCCTTTTATGGCAAGCATAGTCGCCTTTTACTGCAAGCATGGGTTTCTGAAGACCTGTTCTACCCCGAATCTGTTTTTGGTTTGAGAAAGTAACACGGGATGAGTAATAGTTGGAAAGATGTAAACAAACTTTAAAAAGAAGCTTTATCTTTGTCTCACGTGTGTATACATGCATACATAAGAAATACATAAGTAATTTATCAAATATTCCTAACCTTAAATTATTACACTTATGTTATTTGGCAACATTCATGAAAGGGAGACTAAACAGGTTTACCTGCCCTAGAGCACTTGCGCTCCTCGTCTTCAGCTGCTAGGAGGTGAGAAATACAAAAGTAATTTATCAAATATTCCTAACCTTAAATTATTCATGTTATTTGGCAACATTCATGAAAGGGAGACAAGACAGGTTTACCTGCCCTAGAGCACTTGCGCCCCTCGTCTTCAACTGCTAGGAGGTGAAGGGCAGGGTACCTGTCTAGCTCTAGCTGGCCTGTTTCCCCATACAGCGTTTAGCTTCAGTGAAACGTTGACCCATTTCCTTGAAGCGGGTCTGTCTGTCATGAGGACCATGGACAAGTAGCGAGGTCTGCCTGTCGAGAGGGCTGGGGACAGGCCTGTAGCATATCGCTATGCGGGAAACGTTGATCCAATTTCCGTGTAGTGAGACATGAGCACTTTTGGACAGTGTGAATAACAGACATGTCAGGCTCCAGGAGTAAACAAATTACCATTAGGGACGTAACTCTCAGAGAGAAGTATGGTTCATGGTTAAAAATAACAAACACACTCAGACAGTTCTGGGTTTCAAGTTTAACAATATCTGCATGTCTCCTCTGATCTACTTCATTATAAAATATTATTGCAACAATGCAGCTATTACTTTGAAAAGATTATTATGAAAAAATATTAATGACTTTACCAACCCCGAAGTCGTGATGGCTGTGACATGACGCCTGCCGCTCCCTCCTCTCGTCGTCGCTGTCTCCGAGCGAGGGTTGAAGGCAGAGTAGGTTTACTTACTTCTTGATTCCATGCTCCCTACATCCCTCAATTTTAAGGGTCCTCGCAGACAATATGAAGGTCCTGCCAAGTATTGAAATGGAGTTACTGTATAGTTAGGTAATTACGTTAGAGCCTGGAATGAATCCATAAGGATAAAATGACAGACACCCATAACTGCTCTTTATGCGCTGTAGGTACAATGAATGGTAGTGTGCATCCCTCAGGATGCAGTATTTTCTTTTTCTGCTTCCGATGTCAACATTTGTGTATTGGATGTACATTTGACCGTTGTGTTAAGCCCTGCATTGTAACCTGTTGTAACCATGGTAACCTATTGTAACCTATTGTACTTTGTAGTCTGTGGTCTTACAGATTAACCTATTGTATGCACAATTGTTTTGTGGAACACTTTCAATCGTATTTGACGGAACAAAAAGAAAATGGTGCTTTTTGGATTTGATTTACTTCCAGTTTTTGATTAGTTGGGGTCTGCAGAATTTGTAATTTTTTATTTTATTTTATTTTATTGTTTTTCCGAACAATTGCAATTATCATACCTCCATGTCGGAATGATGCGATCTGATTGGTTCACGTGATTTTGATAAAATACTGTGTATCCTGCCTTGGAGGAAATTAATTTCTCAGCATGAAAATAAGTCTATTATGCCCCACCACGACAGGCTGCACGTGGATTGCTGAGGGGAAGAATAAATCCCTTATACCCCACCACTTCAAAGCAAAAAGTTGCATGCTTTTTCTGATTCAGTGAAAGTTACATGAGCACAAGTTAAATATACATTCAATCAAACAGTTGTTTTCTGTCAATTGTGAATTTGTGTTAATTTTTAATTGTTTTACAATATCATTTTAAAGTAAGATGAAGTAAGATAAATTTGTTGCAGCAGTATCACTAGGGGTACATGTGCTTTTAATTATCCTGTGTTAGGTGTTATACCACAAGCTGGAGTCTGGGATACCTGGAACAAGTGAATATATTGATGAAGAGCAAATATCAAAATTCAAATTATTATTTTTATCCCTATTTGAAACTTTATATGATCCAAATTATTATTCAAATTATTATTTTTGTAATCCCTACTTGAAACTTGATATGATCCAAATTATTATTCAGATTATTATTTTTGTAATCCCTATTTGAAATTTGATATGATTCAAATTGCTATTTTTGTAATCCCTATTTAAAACTTGATACTATCCAAATTAATATTCAGTTTATTATTTTTGTAATCCCTATTTGAAACTTGATATGATCCAAATTATTATTCGAATTATTATTTTTGTAATCCCTCTTTGAAACCTGATATGGTTGTAGTGTGGTTTGATAGTCTTTGTATCAGGGATTCCATTTCCAAGGCAACGTAAATATACACACTGACAGGATTGTGTCATTGTCATTGTTGTAATACAGTCACCCTGATTGGTTAGAATAGCCCCCTATAGCCTGGCCAAAGAGGCAACTGAATTGGATGGAACTGTGAGGCGTGGTGACCAGTCTGACTGGGAGTGTCTGGCACCGTGCTCATCCTTCCTGTCACAACTATGGCCCAGACTCTACTATTGACAGGTCGTCGTGTTATAACTGGAATATTGCTGTAACAATCGTTCTTGTCACAGCTATGGCCCAGACTCGACTATTGAAAGGTCGTCATGTTATAACTGGAATACTGCTGTAACAATCGTTCTTGTCACAGCTTTGGCCCAGACTCGACTATTGACAGGTTGTCGTGTTATAACTGGAATATCGCTGACACAGTCGTTCTTCTCACAGCTTTGGCCCAGACTCAACTATTGACAGATTGTCTGGAATAACTGGAATATTGCTGTAACAAACGTTATATACTCACCGACAAAAGAAACCCAAATACCATACATGTTGGCTAATATATGAAGAATTATTCATGTTCAAGAGATATTAGGTTGGTTCGACACTAGTATGTTGTGTAAACCCACGCTCATGAACACATAACATGTTGTGACGTCATAGATCCATGACTCGAGATGCACCATTTGTCTCATGCAGGATTAGCCTGTAAGGTTTTTAAGTCACGTGCAGCATGTCGAGATAAAAATAAAGACACTCCGTGGTAACACTTGACTGATTGTTAGTTTTACTA